ATTGGGTTTTTACTTTCACATATTAGTTTAGAGAAAAATAGAAGTAGAGACTAATTTATCTAGTCAGTATGTAATTTTTCCAAGCTACCCACAGGCTTATAATTGTGACATTAAGATTAGCAAATTTTCTGTTTTGTTTTTGTTTTTTTGATATCCCTGTACCCCTTTTTCTTTCGTTTTTGTATTCTTTTATTGTAGTCCTCTATACCTCTATGTTTTTTTTTTTTAGTTTGTTTGTTTTTTCTTATTTTGCTTCTTAATGAGCAAGTAGCTGCCAGCTGATAAACAATAAAAAAAAAGTCCTTAGTGAGTTAAGGACCCTGAGGAAGGCCAAGAGCTACTGAGGCAGGTCACACCTAGTATATAAAATCACATGGTTGAGTTCTTTGTTTGGTTGGATCTACTTTAGTTAAAGATAAATTTTGAATAACTTGATCTCAAATAAACAAGGGCAGGATAGCTGAATTAGAAAAAAAAATATAATACAAAATATAAATATATATAATTATTAACCAATACTAAAATAAAAATCTAAAATTAGACAGGTTTTAGTTATAGGTTCTTATAAAGTTATAATACGCTCTTGCACAAATCTAACTCTAAATATTAAATAATCAGCATTGTACTAATCTACACATAACCAAATCTGTATACATAGTATACTAATTTAACAGATATAATATTAGAGCAGTCAAGTTCTCTAGAGTATATACGGTATGAAAATGCAAATTGGAATGGACATATAGAAATTATAATAGCATATACGGTTTGTAAAAGAAAAATTTTTCGAAGCAAAGCCAATTTTTTTATAACCTTACATCAAAAAAAGAACAATGCTCACACTTGCTTTAACTCTAAACATTAAAAAAGAGTTTATTTATAAAGGATTAGATTTCTTTTATTTGGCATGAGGATGTGATGAATCATCAGTATGGTGAGTAAGCATTAGCTAAATAATTATATTAAATAATGCTTATTAGCCACACCTAATCATTCGTCACATCCTTGTGCCAAATAGTTTTACAACCTATGTTAACCATACATACTATCAAAATTTTGCTCAATTTTCATATATCCATACATATTTGTATAATTATATATTACTACTTCACTAACTACCTAGTTCTCTAACACTATATCAAAACTCTAATCTGAAAGTGAAATTTATTAGTAAATTAAACTGGTATTATAAACCATTTCTATAATTATGGCAGAATTAACCAGGTTTTTAAATGATAGCAATAATTTTTAAAAAACTAATAATATAGCCTAGTTACTTGCCACTTAAATATGTATATACAACACATAAACTAATAGCATATTGAAAAGAAATTTCTTAAATTATCAATCTCAATAACATGAAAGTTCTAAAATTCCACCAAAGATTAATATTTATATACTTCATATATAACAACTAATATATATAAGCTACTAAATTTAGCTTCTTTCTACAATATATTGATCTTTATTTTAAATTAGGCTTAGATTTTTTGTATACGTATACATGTATATATATATTATAGCAACATTTTGATTAAACTTTGTTTGTATATATATACTAATTCGAGCATTGTAGAGCATAGTGACCTGTTTGTTGACATTTTTGGCAATGCTTTACATGTTTTAAATTACCATTATCAGGATTATAAGTTATCTCATTTTCATCTAAAACTTGATTAACTTGATTGACTGAATTGGTAATATCTCGAATATTTCGTACTTTTTTTCTTGGTAGATCTTCTTCTCCTAATTTATAATATTTAGGCAGATGTTCTTTGTACTTTGTATATATTGAATTATTAATGATTATATTTTCTACGTTGTCATTCTTCTCCTGTTTATTTAATTCAAGTTTGGCTTTTTCAATAAATTTTTCTAAGTAGCTAACCAATTCATCAACATTATCTGTCCAAACTGCGTAATCAAGTGCTTTTTTAGTATAACCTATTCCAAAGCCATATTTTTGTTTAAGGCTTTGCTTTTGCTCACTATAATTGGTCTCTTTTATATTTTCCAAATAGTTAAATGATAACAGCTGAGAAAGAAGCTAGTTCAACTTATTTTCAGAAATTTGATACACTGAAGTTGTTAAATGAACTTGTTAGTCGATACTGGCTTTTTTGTTATTATACCATTATTGTGAAGTAAAGGTAATATAAAAACATGTTTTTTGTGAATAAGATATAACTCTAAAAAAGTGTCTACAAACAATGCCTCTATTAATAAGCCAAAGGCAGGTATATAAGTGGGATCTATTATCAAATATAATTACATATTGGGGCATTGTATATAGAGACCTATGCTTAGTTATGCTCCACACTTCTTGAATATTATGATCTGATATATGACTGATCAATGAAGAAAATAAAGCCTGTGGTTGATCATATTCATCTTTTCTACCCATTTCTAATTAGTAAGAATCATCTGTTGTCTAAATATAAGAAAAATATTCAATATTTTATTTCAATCTAATTCACATACAAATATATAACAAATCATGCTTTTGATGTAACCTTTAATACAACTAACTATAATCTAATAATGAATTTTTTTGATTGATAATATAAGCTATAAAAGATTAATTTTTTTACATACCTCCATTAGTTTGAACTAATTATTAATTAAAAGTGTATCATAGCAAAGTAATTGTGATATCTGATCACATTGCTTTTGAAATATTTGTAGTGTGAGATATTCTCATAATAGTCTAACCATTTCTGAAAAGTATTTTTCCATTATATTGAGCAACCCTCGTGTTGGTAATCCATTCTTATATTCATTAATTAATGCCCTTTTTGATTAATTATTGAATGCCACTTATATTTCTTCAATAGTTTCTCATTTATTATTCTATTGATAATTTCTGCTTATTAAGTACTTTGAATTCCTCCTGTAAAACACCTATTAACCGTGTAGCTAGCCCAACTTTCTTTACATGAATATAGAGTATGTATCAAGTATTGTTCATAAACAGGATATTCTTCAATAAGTTTAGCTCATTTATTTTTAAATTGTTTAGAGCATAGAGAATTACGCATCTCTAAAAATTTATGCTAAAATAGCTCAAATTGATTGCGTAACTTCTTCTTGAAGTTGTTTTTTAAATTTAGACTGATATAAAATATACAATGAAAAAGATATACTTCTGGGTAGTTATTATGTATAGCTGATATCAACACAGAATCTAAATTTAAAAATATTACTGTTGGAGTAATTTCACAGACCATTTTCAGCTCATCTAAAATCTATGCAAATGTTTCTTTAGTTTCATCCTCTATAAGTGTCGAAGCTATTATTAAATTCCTAAAATCATTATCAATAGCTATCTATAACAATAAATAGAATCATATCAAATTGGTTTGTCTTTGATGTTGTATCGATAACAACAACATCATAGAACCTTTCATAAGCACACATTTGAGTTGGAGACATTCAAAATAATGCTGTTAGTTTCCTCTCATTAGGGTCAATTCTTGGTTTGACTATCCATGATGGATCATTATCCTTCTTCTGATACAAATCAATTAAAGTCTGACAAGCATCATTTTTTTGAGGTTTTATCTGTTTTTTATACCGCTATATAGTGTTACTTAAATCTTTTTTATTAATCCTTTATTAGAAAATGATGCAGCAAGTAGATTATACTGAGTAGATACACCCAATCATTCTTGGACCATCCAGAACTTAATTTGTTCATATATTTCATCAGTTAATCGACGAAATCTTGGTGCAGTTTCCACAATAAGGGGGGTTTATTAGATAAGTGTGTTTGCCTACAATCTTATTTATTTTTACTCCATATCTAGTTTTAGAAAATAATAAATTTATATGCCAGAAACAGCCAATCATTTCTGATTCTCTATCTCTTCGATCCTCTATTAAAACAGCTTTCTCAGGTTTATGTGTATATGCATGAAAGCATTCAAAAGTATGGTGACATGTTATACTATTGTCAACTAGATTAGGAACATGACATCATTTACAAATACTAAATCCTTCTTGCTTTCTATAATTCTCAAGGTAAGATTTAGCTATTTTCCATGTATCAAATTCCATACCTATATCTAATTTTAATATTTCTGACTCATCTTCTGTATCATCTTCTATGTTATATTGTATATTTCTCTCTTCTTGGATATCATTGAGCTCTATGTTATCTTGTTCATTTCTCTCTTCTTGGATATTAGTGAGCTCTATGTCATCTTGTTCATTTTTCTCTTCTTGAATATCATTGGGCCCATAATTTTGAGTTTTAGTAATTGTGTCATCTTAGACAAAGTAATCAAAAGCTTAGATAATGAAATAAGTAGTTACAAAAATTACAACAAATCCTGAAAGCAATTTAAACCGATTATTTAATTTGTCCTAGAACAACTTGGTTGTGGCTTATATGAAAAATACCCATCTTCAAAAAGAAGTTGTAATTGTATATAAGCTTATCAAAAAAAAAAAAAATTAAAAACGAATATATACCAATTAAATGAGTATTACTTATAAAATCCCTTCAAATAAAGCGTCCTCTTCAACCAAAACATCTTCAAACAAAGCATTCTCTTCAACTAAAACATCTTCAAACAAAATGTCCTCATCAAACAAAGCATTCTCTTTAAGCAAAATGTCTTCTTCAAACATAGTGTCTTCTTCAAACAAAGAATATAAAGGGTAATACCAAAAAGGTAATTCTGTATTAGTGTCAGAGTCTATTTTTTATTATTAAAAGTGAATATGAGACACAATTTTATAACACAAATGACAGAAGACTAAAATAATTGTATGATCTTGATTGCAAGTGGATATAGGAAAAATAATTGTATAACAAAAAATGCACAATTGTTAATTCATGAAAATTAAAATAGTTGCATGATCTTGATTGCAAGTGAATATAGGAAAAATAATTATAAAACAAAAAATACATGATTGTTAATTTGTGAAAAGCTAAAATAGTTGCATGATCTTGATTGCAAATGAGTATAAAAAAAAATATCCATATGATCAAAAAATCAGAAAAGCAAATCCTTAATTATATAATAAGTTTATCTGATTGTTAAATTTACTTACAATTACTTAGGTTAAAATTATTAAAATTACTAGGTGTTAAAATTATTAAAATCACTAGAAGTTAAAATTATTAAAAGCACTAAAGGTTAAAATTATTAAAATCACTAGAGGTTAGAATTATCAAAAATCACCTGGGGTTAAGATTAGATAAATTCTTTTTTAATATTATTAAAAAATTTTAGAATAGTAATATAAAATTGCAAAAATATTTGGAAAATTTTGAAAAATTATGAAAATAGTAAAAATTAGGAATATGACTAAAATCAGATGATTTTTTAGAGAAAGAGAGTATAAAAATTTTAAAATTATATATAAAAATCTGATCAAAATATATAATAAGAGAAGGAATAAGCTTCTAATAAAAAAAATTAGGTGATAAATAATACTACACTTATTTTTTAAATTATAATATAAGCAATTTTGCCTGTATTTATTTTTTAAAACTTTATTTTTTTAATAAAATTTTAATAATTAATTTAGTAATATACTTTTTAATTAGGGTGTAGCAACTTAGTGAAGTGGTTAAGTTGTCACATCCCCAAGTGGTATGTTAGCAGGTGGAGTTCGAAACTCATTAACTATAAAATTTTAAATATTCTACTTGTATAACAGCTACTGTCTTTCAACGATCAGTTGGAATGGGATCTTATAACCTTAGTGACATTAACAAAATTAGAAGATCATTGGCATTTATGCAATGTATAAGTTATATAAAGGTATGCAAGCTGACATTAGGTAGTGCAAACCCAAAATAAGTCTTTCGTGATCGCATTAATCTAAGAAATTAGAAAGATAGATATCTGCTTGGCAAGACTTGAGTAAAGATATAATACAGACTTTTAATAGTGGCTACTGAAATAGGCTTTCTTTATCTGAGGCTAATTAATTAGATATAACAAAAGCATCTGGCAAATTGATCTACCAACCAGGCTGCTAGCTTGTGCATTGACTGGAGGAAAGAATTAGCAGATACTATAGAACCAGTGTTCCTTCTGAGCTATCTGAATTAGTAGTCTGGGGAGACCAGTTAGAGGTACTGAAAAAGAAGATACCAATTTGTCTTAAAGAAAGAGTACCAGGATTTGGATGAACTTTGCAAAGGTTAGGGAGTTCAGTGGTATAGCACCTATTTGGTAAACTTATTTGTGAAAAGAATTGGCTGTATAGCCTGCCTATAAAGATATAGAATCTATCTGACAAGACTTATCTGAAAAAGACTAAGTAATATAGTAATAGTAGATATTGAACTGATTTAGTAAGTGATGACCTTGAGAATGAATCAGTTAACCAAGCCAGTAGTCCTATAAATAGTTCGCAATGACTCTGAAACTTGAACTGACTTATATATCACATGTTCTGGGTGAGATTAAATAGATTGACATAGGAAACTCAAATTAGAGGATTTAATTAGATAACCCAAATAATAGATAGATTATAGATATGGCATCTAGTATAGAACCTAGTAATAGTCAGACTACTTAAGAGTAGAGTATATGTAGATCATTTTTCATATAATCTATATGATATATTAGATTTTATATAGTAAATAAAAAAATGCTTCTAATAAAACTTCATAATATCTTAACTAATTTGTATAAACAGTTTATTTATGATATTGAAGTTACACAATATGTATTGCTTTAAAAAAAACAACTTCATATATAATTAAATTTTTCTAGGTTGCTATATGTTTTTTTTAGATAGTACAAAAATTGCTAATCCTGATTGGCTAAATCATATGATGTTTATATGTAAATCATATGATATCATATACACAAAGTTGATCTACAATCTATTTTATATGAAATTGGAAATTTGTACACCCTACCCTTAAAATCAACTAAAAGTAAAAATAATGATCATCCGAAATGATCCGCGATATAATAAAAGTTTTCCGAAATTTTCCGCACATATAGAGGGG